TCTTAGCCTACTGCTTCCTTTTTACCACACTGCCAGCCTCCTGCAACACTGGATTACCGGGGGTGTGGTTTTCGGGTTTGAATACACAACAGGTCTCCCTTACAAAAAAAAAAAAATGGAAAAGACTGTCACCAGTCATTTTCATCCCAGCTATTCGACTTTTGAGAAAATGTTCTGCTTTTGCACCTGAAAGGTGGTAGGTACCTTATTCTCATGATGGTTTCTAGCAAGTGGGTAACTGGGTCTCTGCAGCCTGTGAGGCACCCAATGACCGAGGGAGGCGGGCCTTGCGGGGTCAGCTGGGACCGCTACACCAAGAGAACACCCATGTTCCAGGCTTCATATTCTGGGGTTAGCAGGCCCTAGATTGGCTGTCCTGAAGGGACCACGGCCTCTTTTTCTCTTCTACACAACAGGGGGGGAGGCTGCTATCAATGTAAGTGCTTCGTGGAAGGCTGTCTTTCTTGGATCTGTGTTTGCCTGCCGAGAATAGGAAAGGCTCCATTTCAAGTCTTTTAAGTCTTGCAAAAGACTTAAAAAAAAAAATGAACGGGAGAAGAAAGACAAGGGTGAAAAGGAAGCTGAATCTCTTACAAACACCCTCAACTGGAATTCGACTCGTGACGACAGAGGGAATGACGACAAATAGGATTTCGTGGAATGCAACGTCCTTTGGAAAGGGCTCCCAGGGCGCCAAGGCCCCCACCTGATGAATGGGTGAGTCGGGAGGCCCAGCTCCACTTGGTGATTGGGTAAACTGAGGTACGGGGCGGGGAGGCGGCTGGCCCGGGGCCTCGCAGAAAGATCCGAGGCGGCGCGGAGAACCAGAAGCACCGATTCTCACGCTGATGCTTGACTCACGGGCTCCCCCCGCCCCTGTGATGGCGTAGACGGCCTCCGCCCCCCCCGACTCACACACCCTCCCCCGGGAACGGCACGTTGCCTCAGGTTCCAAGGACAGAGCCAAAAGACAGGGGCCCGCAGCGCTCCCGCCGGGATCTGCAGACAGGGAGCGTTGGGAGCGTGCGTCCCTCCAGTCCAACATGGCGGCGGCGGCCGCGTCCGCGCCCCCACCCCCCAGCCTCCCTCAGGGCCGGAGGCTTTTCCTCGGGGCCCTCCGGTGGGCGGGAAGATGGCCCAATCCTGCAAAACCCCTTCTCGCCGCTGCCGCTGCTCGCTGAAAGAATCACCTACCCGACATGACTAACGGCCGCGGCGCCGAGCCCCCACAGCCCGCCGAGAACAAGGAATACGAAAGCCAGGCGGCACAGCGGCCGAAGCGGTACTGAGGGCAGAGCGGCGGGGTGAGCCCGACTGCGGGGCCTCGGCAGCCAATCAGAAGACGGCGGGCGGTACCATCGCGTCACGACCGGAGGGTGGATTCTGTACTAGGACTAGCCTCCAAACCCTGAGGACTTCGGAATCCCTATCAGTTCGCCCCTCCTCGGACCATACCATTATTGAGAGGGAATTGAGGAGAACGTACCAATGCCGCGATCAGGCGGGGGGCAGGAAGCTGAACCTGCTCTTTCTGTCATAAATACAGTCCTGTTTCCTACTCTCTTGGGTCTGATAGAATTTGAGGTTAGGAAGAGAAAGAGGAGAGATCTTGTAAACACAGGTCGTTTGGTTAGAAATGGACTTTCTTCCCCTAAATTTTCGAATGGTATGCCCTAAGTCGCACCGCTGGGGCTTCAGACTGCTTGAGCCACCTGGGGGCGTTCGGAGTCTACGAGCTCCGAGACGGAAAGTCGTGACCAGTTCAGGTACCTAATAGCCTCCCCGTTTGTCCTAACTAGCTTGTCAAGTAAAAAACAGACTACAAGGTAATACTGAAAAAAGCGTGTGCATTCAAACGAAAAATCACACACAGACTGGACTCTGAAAAAAAAAAGGAACAGACTGGACTCTGAGGATGAGGCGGGATGGAGTGCAGAGCTTTAGTCTTCAATGCTATTGTAATACCTAACTCTCATGGTCAGCCACCTTACATTAGCTCATTTAATTTTTGCAACAGGCTGATGAAATGTCATCTCCATGAAACAGAAGATGGAGCAGAATTCACTTGCTCTAGGTCACACAGCAAGGAAATGGCCAACGTGAAATCTGAATCCTCGACACCAGATACCGCTGTCTGTGGGTTCAGCCCTGAGGCTGTGCTGCCTAAAGGGAACTAGAACTCTAGGGTGTGAGACAAAACTGTGAACGCCCAGTGGACACGCAAGGATGTTTTCCCCGAGGGCAAGGTGACATCCGAGGCAAACCAGAGGTGATGAGCAGAAGTTGACCACATAGTTGCAAAACAAGTAAGTCAGTATGTTCAGAGTTGGGCCGCGAGGGTAGAATGGTAGGAGATGAGGCCAGAAAAGTAGCTGAGACCTTGTAAAGTACATGAGAGTCTGTGCTTTACCTTGAAGGCAGTGGGAACCCTTCACCTGGGGATTTCCAGAGGGAGTGGAAGGGAGGAAGGAGGGGGAGAGAAAGAGAAAAACAAACGTAAAGGTGAGAGAGACAGGTGGATTCATTGCCTCCTACGCGTGCCCCTACCAGGGCTGCAACCCAGGTACATGCCTTTTTTTTTTTTAATATTTTATTGATTTTTTACAGAGAGGAAGGGAGAGGGATAGAGAGTTAGAAACATCCATGAGAGAAACCTCGATCAGCTGCCTCCTGCACACCCCCTACTGGGGATGTGCCCGAAACCAAGGTACATGCCCTTGACTGGAATCGAGCCTGGGACCCTTCAGTCCGCAGGCCGACGCTCTATCCACTAAGCCAAACCAGTTAGGGCCCAGGTACATGCCTTTGACTGGGAATCGAACCTATGACCCTTCAGTCTGCAGGTCCGATGCTCTAACTACTGAGTCAAACCAGCCAGGGTGAGACTTGGGACTTTTTTAAAGGATAAGAATATAGAAAGTATTGCTCATCATCAATTCTTTAAGTCTGTGCCACCATTCATCAATGTATTTATTCATGCATGCATTCTTCACTCAATTGCCATCTCATGATGCCTGCTAGGTCTTAGGTCCCGGAAGGCCCCGGAGATAGAAAAATAGGAAGCACCGCAGCCCCTGCCTTTCAGGAATTGCAATCTCCTAACAGGGACAGTATAAACGTGTTATTCAACCCACTACCAAAAATACTCGAATTGGAGGATGCAGAGGGTGCTCTGAAAACACAAAGGAAGGGCGTCTAGGGGACCGAAGGGTTGAGGGTGGAAGGGTCGAGGCGGCATTAAGGAAGACTTCCTGCAGGAGATACCTCCCAAACTGAGCTTTGAAGAAAGAGCAGGAATTCACCAGGGGGTGTATATCAGGAACAGCTTGCTCCACATGCAAACGGCTGTATTTGCAAAGACTAAGAGGGGGCAAAGTTCTGGGAATTGCAAGTGGATTAGTCCGGCTGTTCTGCAGAGTTGCAGGGATGGGGAGTGATTATAAATGAAGTGAAAGAAGTAGGCAGAAGCCACAGCTTGAAGAGCCTTATGTGCCTCGTGAAGGATTTCGGATATTAAATTTCAAACAATGGGGAACCTCTGAGGAATCTAATCAAATGTGTGGCATTTAGTTTTCTATATCCATTCTCTCTTTTAATCTTTTGGATGCCCCATGAAATATAGGTATTGCTGTTATCCGCATTTTGTAGATGAGAACACTGGAGGTGGAATTCTTTAGTTCACACAGCCAATCAAGGACAGAAGCAGAGCTCGAATCTAGGCCTTTGAACCAAGGGCAGTGTTCTTTTTACAATATCCCTGGTCTCCCAAACTTGAAACAGGGAACTCCTCCCAGGTCTGCACTGCTCTGGCGTTTCTTTCCAAGGGTCCTGCTCTACCACAAAAGGACTCACCGATTGAATCCCGTGCCCTCCTGCCTTCCAAGCTTTTGCCTAGGGATGATTATCTGCAACATAATTCACCCAGTCATTCTTTTTTAAAAAATATTTTTTTTTATTGATTTCAGAGATGAAGGAAGAGGGAGAGAGAGATAGAAACATCAATGATGAGAGAGAATCATCAATCAGCTGCCTGCTACAACCCCCCCTCCCCGACTGGGGATCAAACCTGCAACCTGGGCATGTGCCCTGACCAGAATCAAACCGTGACCTCTTGGTAGAGCCATGCAGCTGGGCCACCCAGTCATTCTTCACACTACAAGATCCTGCTCCCTCTACCATGCTGGCCTTAGTCTGCATATTTAGGGAAGACAGCAGGTACATTTTACACATCGGCGTTAGGAGAATGTATTTGTGAAGGTCTCAGTACTGGGCCTGTTTGCCCCTGGTCTAGCCCTCAAGTCCTCACATGGAGACCTGACCCTGCAGCCCCATTTCAGTTTCAGAGATTTCTTCAGGCAGTACCTTCCCACTAGAATCAGTCAATGGGTGTCCTATTGGGCAAGAAGTTGGTAGAAGAAAATGAGGAACCAGGGTTATTTCTCCCACCCCTCTCTGCCATGGAGGAAGGGGTGTGGTGTAGGGTCTCAGGCAGCAGCTGTCTTGTCCAGGGCTCCAGTTTCCATCTTAGACTCTGGCTACTGGACTCCAGGAAGCTTACTCCTCCCTTCATTCCCCCAGCCTCTGGCTGGTAGAGGCCTCTAGCTATTGTTTTAAAAAGAAACAAACAAACAACAGGGCAAAATAGAGTCACTTTTGCTAAACCAAAGCTTTATAACAAACTTAATTGCAATTTCAGCCTCTCCCAGGGGTGGAATTTTAAACCAATCAGTCTGGAATTTCCTGATCCACACTAGTGAGGCAATCTGCCCCATAAGCCCTCTGCCTTCCTCCAGGGCAGCAGTTTTTAAGATTTTTAACTGGTGTGCCACAAGAATTTTTTAAACATGCAATACCTGACTATTTAGTCAGCGCACTGACCTCTTTTTCCTTAGATTGTCAAATAAAAACATAACAACAGCCAACACAACAATAGGCATCTGATGTGAGCGAATCAAAATTTTACCTTTTTGTCAGATCAGAAAAAAATATTTATTTTTTTATTGTGCCCAGAATTTTAGTAATTAGTTTATGTGTGCCATGAGATGGAAAAGTTGAAAAGCCCTGCTCTAGGGTATGGCATCTTTGTCTGAAATAATCCACTCTTAATTTAGTCCCCTCTTCTTTCTTCCTATAAAAACCCACTATTTTGTATAACTCATCTGAGCACCCGTCTGGCGATTCATGAATTGCTTAATAAAGCCAGTTATCTTCAAATTTACTGTTAAATTTTGTTCTTTAACACTGTTGATAATTTTTGAGTTGCCTTCACTCCCTAGTTGGCTTTCCAATCCTTCGACCATTGCAGCAGAGCCTTGTAGGACCGTCTGAGAACGGTGAATTGACTTAGAATGAGAAGGGAAGCCATTAGAGGGAGCCATTTAGCAGAGGCCTTTCAGGAACTGGCCTATGTTACCAGGATTACTCTGGCTGCCGTCTTGAGAATAGACTGTAGGGGACAGGAGAGGAAGCAGGCAGCGGTAATTGCTCTTACCACAGTGAAAAAGAGACCACAGTGATTTTTGCCTCTCTTGTGGAAAGCCTGTGGAATTCACAGTTGTACCACATAATCCCAGGCTTGCCTACCTGACTAGAGGCCAATTTGTTCTCTAGTCGGGTCGCCTAGTTCATCGCTGAACCTCTCAGTGCCTCACACAGTGCCTGAAACAGGAGGCACCAAAAAGAAGAAGGAGAAGGAGGAGGAGGAGAACCTTGTATTTAATGAATGAATGAATAAATAGGGGGAAATGGCATGACTTGTCTCTCTCACTTGTCTGTAAACTCCTCAAGCTCAAAGGCCTTATCTAGGACTTTCCTAGTCTCCCGAGTGCTTGGTGAGTGTCTGTTGAAGAGCTGACAGCTGTTCTGTGCCAGGTGCCACAGGCAGTAGTAGCCATCACCACCCTCCACGTGGCGCCTCTCACTGCTCCAGCCTTCCTAGAGAGCAAGCCTCCCGCGAACATTACCCTGAGGCTCCACTTTGGCAGGGGAAGGCTCCTTGTAAATGACTGGGCTACTCCTCCTCTGGACAGTGGCAGGCACTTCCTGTTTGGGGTGGAAAGGAAGCAGATGATTTCCTGTTAGCAGGTCTTTTGAGCAAAGCAGGGGAGTCTGAGCAGGGCCTGGCCCAGCCTTTCGGGCCAGATGCCTGGCGGATAGATAGCCTTTATGTGGAAGGGAAGTGGGGCACAGTGCCAGATTGGCCAGGCTTTTATTATGCTCCTAGCAAGTCCCCTGGGTCCTGGTAGGAGTAAAAAACAAAAGAGGCTGACACCCTGCAAACTGCGATGAGGGTTAGGGGAGATGGGACTGGTGTTAGCCAAAGAGAGCTGCCTGGTGAGGAGGTGCTCATGTGACGGTCCTGGGGCTGGCTTGTGTACATAGTCCATGTGAGCACTCTCGAGTGTGAACCTGTGTAAAGAATATATGTGTGAGCCCTGGCAGGTGGCTCAGTTGGTTAGAGCACCCTCGCGACACACCAAGGTTGCAGGTTTGATCCCCAGTCAAGGCACATACAAGAATCAACCAATGAATGCATAAATAAGTGGAACAACAAATCAATGCTTCTCTCTCTAAAATCAATCAACAACAACAAAAAAGAATACGTGTGTGTGTGTGTGTTTGTTTCTAGGTACCCAATACCCAGCACGTGATAGGATTTAACATTTATTAACTGTCTAGCTTGTTCCCCACAGAAAACCGGGGTACTAGAAAAGGCAGGAATTATTGTTGTCCCATTTTAAGAAGGCAAAAATTCAAACCCAGTTCTGTCTTGTTCTTCATTTCTTGCTTTTTCTAGTCGCGTATGAGCGTGTGTGTGTGTGTGTGTGTGTGTGTGTGTGTGTGTACACAGGGAGAGAAGGAGGGAGGAGGGTATACTTGTGAATGTGGTCCAGACTGATGAGACCACATCCAAATGTGCTAGAGAGGAAATTTCTGTTTCAGAGGCAGAAGTGATTGCTAGAAAATCAGGGCTTTAAGAATTGAATCACAGCTAAAAATGCACAGAGGTTATGGTCAATAATGAATCCAAATCATCAGAGCTAAAATGCTCCAAACTCCGGGAAAAGCCTCCTTTCAGCTCTCCCAAGCTAATCTCATGTCCTCACGATTCCTCTTCTTATTCCTATTATTGTAGCTTTGGGAGGTTGATCATTCTGTTAGTGCCTTTCTCTGGAGTCCAGAATTCCTTCTGATAAAATCTGCTTTGTGTTCTGCACGCTTCCTGGGGAGGAGGAAGGGGCAGAGACAAAGCGGATTGTTTCTCCTGTTATGAAGAGAGAAACTGAGGCCCAGAGGGGCCTTGTCCAGGTCCGCACATCCTGCCTGATTCAAGAAGTCCAGGTCAGGAAGACGACTCATTGGCCAGCTGTTGCCTTCTGTCACCGAAGAAGGAATGGTCCAGGCAGCTGCCAGCCTGGGCAGGCAACATGCCCACGCCCTGGCTTGAGTTCCACAGAAGTCTGGTCCACTCTGGGAAAGCTGGGAGGCACCGTGGGTCTGAACTAAGCCTGGTGCGGGGCGAGGGAGGGAGGGGAAGCAGCTCTCTTTGAAGAGGAAGTCTGAGAGGACTGCCAGCCCTGCCGGGCCAGGAACCTGCCCAGCCAAGTTAGAGTGAGAAGGAAGGTGAGAGCCAGATCCTTGGAAAACCTAGTACAAGCTTCCTCTAGAACATTGCTACCTAGTATTTAGTGACTAAGTAGGTCTGGAGTAGGGTTCTAGAATCTGAATTTTTAATGTGTGCCTCTAGGTGATTCACGGCAGGTGATCCAAGAATCACATTTTATAAATTTGACTTGAGGAAAGATAGTATAGTGTCTGAGGGTGTGAGATCTGGACTTACTCTCCAGTTTCGTACCCTGAGTCCATTTCTAGATTTGTGACCTTGGACAGGTGTTATCTCTGTGTGCCTCAGTTTCCGCGTCTTTAAGATAAGGATGCTGACACTAGTAGCTGTAAAGATTCGATGACAAAATCTGTGTCAAGCACACAGCACAGCACATACATGGCTCATGTTAATTTCTCAACAAGTATTTGCCATTATTATTTGCTCCAATTCCTCATTCCCATCCCCACCCCTCCCCCACCAGAGGAAGAAATAATAGTATTGGGCTGATACAGCGATTTGTCACCACAGTATTGTTTGGGATGTGGCTGATCTTTGGACTGTGCTTTGAGAATTCCTACTCCAAAGCCATTCTCCTCCTATCACTCTTCTGATACCCTGGCTGTGGACTGAGCTTCTTCGGTAAACCTATCCTGACTTTATCTTCCTGTCCATCCTTCTCTCATATGGCAAGCCACCTTCCTTCTCCGCCCCTTTGAAAGTTATTTGGCTCAGCATGTGTCCTAAGGTAACACCAAACAGCAAGTCAGTTGAGGGGCCACAGAGACCTCCAGATTCCTGAAGAAGATCACAGAATCTGTTGCTCTGGGACTTATGAGTAAGCCTCAGAGGCAGAAGGGAACAGAAGCTTCTGCTACTCAGGTTCTAGCCATGGAAACATGCTGGGAAACAGACACCCTGTGCAAAGGCATGGTTGAAGGCCATGGGGAGTGTGTGGGCAAAGGAAGCTCTGTTCTGTACAAATTCTTGCAGGCACTTCCAACTCTGCATGGCCTCTCCAAGTGACCATTAGCAGGAAGGGAATGGGGGAAGGCAGGATGGCATGAAATAATTCAACCAAGGACACAAAGGGAAAGCAGAGGAAGTCAACCTTCAAACACAGTAGTTGTGCTCGTTTTTGAAGTTCAGAGACCAAGTCTCACCCGGGATGCAGAGAAAAGCAGGGTCAGCTATCTGAAGTGTCTCCTCCCAGTCGCTCAGCCCTCCTGAGACCACGGCTTCCTGCCTCCCACTCTCCTACGAGTGCAGCTGAAATAGAGAACTCCTGGGATGTGCTAGAACAGTGGTTCTCAACCTTCCTAATGCCGCGACCCTTTTGTACAGTTCCTCATGTTGTGGTGACCCCCAATTTCATTGTTACAAATTGAACATAATTAAAGCATAGTGCTTAATCACAAAAACAATATGTAATTATATATGTGTTTTCCGATGGTCTTAGGTGACCCCTGTGAAAGGGTTGTTCGACCCCCAAAGGGGTGGCGACCCACAGGTTGAGAACCGCTGTGCTAGAGGAAGGGATGGAGACATTCTTCCTGAAGAAAAAAAATGGCAAATCTGGGTTTGGCTCCAGCTTGGCCCACAATGTCCTTACAAACTGGTACTCCCTAGAACTCCCTGGCCCAAAGTAGAATTGTATCTGGCCTATTAAAAGCCACCTTATTGGTCAAGGGCACCATATATTATGTCATACCTGCAACCTTCTGACATACTCCCCAACACACACACACACACACACACACACACACACACACGTCGCCAGAAAAAAATAGAGTACACCAAGTTAAACTTGAATTTCAGATTAAATTTCTAGTTTATGTCCCAAATAGTGCATTGGCACATGCTTATGCTAAAACAATTACGCGTCGTTCATCCGATAACTCAAGTTTAACTGTATTTTTATTTGCTAAATCGAGCAACCTTACCCAACTCACCTTCAGACTCTGCCTCCTCCAGGCTGACCACAGGACTTCACTGGAACCTGTGGCTTGTGTTGGTTTTAGCTGAGAATCTTCGTTAGTCTAACCGGCTACACGGAAAGCTCTCAGAAGATAAGGCCCAGGCCTTGTCCACAACCTCTGGCGCTCCCTTCCAGGAAAGGACTCTCCTTATAGATGCGCACAGGGCATCTGTGGAGTGGGAATGGGCAAAGAAATCCATTCTCAATTCTATGCCTGGCACGGTGATGTGCTAGTGAAAGGCGCCTTTTTCTCATTGGGCTGCCAGAGGAGCATCTGCTTCTAATTGGTTCGTCCAGGAGGAGTATCCCCTTTTCATTGGTTGGTTGGGGAGTGGGTGGGGCCTATTCTAATTACTCCACCCACGGGAACGCCAGTTTCGAGGAAGGTTGTCCAATTCAAAGAGGAGCCTTTTAAAAATTCCTCCACCAGAGTGGCACCTTTTTCTAAATAACAAAACCTTTCTATGTTTTAATAAACTTTCTGAGGCCCTGAGCCTGAGGATAAGAACACTTCATTCCATTTGTTTGGCACTTTATAGATTCCAGATTACTTTTACATCTATCAACTCATCTAATCCACACAATTCCGAGAGGCGGGCATCACTGTGTCCTTTGCATTTTACAGACTGAGACTAGGAGACAGTAACCTGCTTGCAGTTACCAAGGCGGATAACGAAGACAGTTTACTTTGGCTCAGCATGAGTTTAGCTAAGGCTTCCACGTGGATCATTTCATTCCACCTTTACTACCATTGTGTGGGACCCATAAAGCCAGGCACTCTCCACTCATTCTCTCTTTTAACCTCCCTGCAACTCCAGAAACTAAATATCATTTGCTCTCATTTTACTGGTGAGGAAACTGACGCTCCAAGTAGTTAAATCCTTTGCGAAAAGTCACAGTGCTTGCAAGCGACCATTTACCAAATGCGTACTTAATGCCGCACGGTGTTGGGTTACTTCGGGCGTTGTTCTCTCATTAACTGCTCCCTACAATGACATGGTTCTGCCTGGTATTACTATCCCTGGTTAGTGATGAGAAAAACCGGTTCAGAGAAGGCTTGCCCAAGACCACACAGCCAGCAGGTAGGTTGAGGCTGGATTCACACTGCTAGCAAGAAAGCAGATCTGGCCCTAACTGGTTTGGCTCAGTGGATGGAGCGTCGGCCTCCGAACTGAAAGGTCCCAGGTTCGATTCTGGTCAAGGGCATGTACCTTGGTTGCGGGCACATCCCCAGTAGGGAGGTGTGCAGGAGGCAGCTTATTGATGTTTCTCTCTCATCGATGTTTCTAACTCTCTATCCCTCTCCCTTCCTCTCTGTAAAAAATCAATAAAATATATTTTTTAAAATGCAGACTCCTGGGCCTCACCTCAGAACTACTGGTGTACTTGGGAAGCCCAGAAATATGCATGATAACCAGCTTTCCAGGTGACACTGATATATAATAAAGTTTGAAAGGCAGAGTTCTGCAGTACTTAAAAAAAAAAAAAAGCAGATCTGGAACTCAAATTAAATTCTTCTGACCCCGACCCAAGGCTCCTTCCTTCACTCTCCGGGTCCTTGCTCCCTGCCAGCCTGGCTGACCCAATCGATGAGCCTCATCTAGAAATCAGGTAGCTCTGCCGGCCCGGAGAAGACCCTTTCACCCCGCCCTCCCCAGAGCGATCTGGCTCAACCCGAGGTGGCGGGCGAGAGAATGGGTCCGCGGGGCGACAGCGGGCACCGGGCGAGGCCGTACAGCCGGCGGAGGAAACTTCAGAACCGCCGAGTTCCAGCAGCGGAGTGGGTGGGTGTGGCCGGAG